TGGTGTTACTGGTGGTTCTGTTTCTGGTGCTTCTGTAGGTGGTGTTACTGGTGGTTCTGTTTCTGGTGCTTCTGTAGGTGGTGTTACTGGCGGTGGTGTTACTGGCGGTGGCGGTGGCGGTGGTGGTGGCTGTGTCGGTGGCGGCCGTGGTGGCGGTGTCGGTGGCGGTACTGGTGGTGGTGTCGGTGGCGGCCGTGGTGGCGGTGTCGGTGGCGGTACTGGTGGTGGTGTTGGTGGGTCACTCTCGATGAAGACTTCTTGTGAGAACGTACCGAAGTATGCATGAGWGTTCAACCTAACTTTCATGTGAACATCGACATACGAGATAGTCTCAGTTCCAAGGATCGCAGATACGTGTTCCAGAACCATAGCGGCACGCACACCTGTATTGTAATTCAAACCAATGAGTGAAACAGTACGAGGGTAGGTCGGAGAAACATGCCAAAACAAAGAGACAAAACAATGTTACCAGTGTTCGTGAGTGGAACAAACATAGAAAACAAAGAGCAACCAATACAACTGCCGCCTGTCTATTCTTACATAAATCTAGTTCTCCATCCATTCCGTCAGACCCATCAGTCGCCGAGAATATATCCGGTACCCCACTTGCAAACGGACCCCGGTAATTCTGCAAGGTAAACTCGCACGCTCCTGTGTGCAAAAAAGAAAAAGGAAGGAGGGCGATCAATCCAAMGCATGCTGAGCTGATGTCCTCACGATGAASCACATGCAACAGAAAAACGAAARGAAATCAAAACAAAGAGACAAAACTATACAAACAAAAGAGGAAGAAAGACSCTACGTACCAATCTGACCATCMSATGTTTGCAAAGCGTACAGACCGTTTTCAATCACATAACAGTCTGTCGTTTCGAGGGAGTTATCAACGGTCGACTCAATTTCGACCCCGGTAACGCAACGCTCCCCGTTTGCAACCCCAGAAAAGAGCTTGGTGACGATTTTACCTTCGGTCATTTCAGATCCGAAGGCATCCGGGTGCGCCTCGATGATAATCTTTCCTCTCAATGGCTCCAGCTGCTCAATCTCTCCGTAAGGGGCTTCCTCACTCCCATTGCCAGCCGCCCTGATCTCATGGCGGAAGATCGGGAAAAGGGTTCCCTCGGCCGTTCCCACATTGCAGGCAACGGCAACAAGCACAAGTAAGAAAATTATCATTTTTCACTCGTGTTAGCAGTTACAGGCTGCTTGTTTTCTCTTGAGTTCGTGTTTGCTTCGACGGCTT